ATCTATATTATTATGTTAGGGGATATATATATAAAAGCGGGAAGAAGAAGAAAAGAAGAAAAAAAGGCACTACAATATCAAGTATCAACTATTAGTACACCATATTTTGGACCAATATAGAGCTGGTTTGACTTTACTTACATCACTTGTTCTCTGCGTTAGTTGCAACCTTGTCCTTCCGCACCTCCTCTCTTACTTTATCTGCCTCCGTCTCCCGCCAGTGGAAGCGGCGGCAACGGGGGCCGCGACTGCAGATGGGGGCGGCGCGCGTGTTTGAAGGGGGAGAAGGTCCCCCGGGAGTTCGGAGACGTGGCAGTGGCAGCCTGTCCAATGACAGCTAAGCGAATGTCAGTGTCATATCAGGCTTCCTTGGGAGGGTTATAAATTACATGGCAGAGGCGATTGCCCCAGACAGATTTCTGGCCCACGGGCCAAAGCAACAGCCAAAGGTGGCCATGATGCCCCTTATCGCAGGGGCCCCAAGTAGAGCGATCCCCTTAAAGTTGAGGGAGATGAGCGCGGGCCACGCCGCCCTGGATCCGCTCCGGTGCTGTTGTCAGCCATTTTTCTTGTTGCTGCTGCTAGTGCTGTTGCTTCTGTCATTGCTGATGCTGTTGTTGTTGGTGGGAGCGAAGAGAAAGGATGAGGAAGATCCAGCGTGTGCTTTCTTCTTCGTTTTAAAAGGAGAGGCGTTTGGCCGTCGCGGGTTCTGCTGCCGCTCACCGCCCTCACCACCCCCTTAACCCCTTAACCCCTTAAGGCTGGAGAGACATCATGCGCATATGCTGGATGCGAGGATGGCACTCACTAATATATCTATGCCGTTATTCATCCAGCCAGGGGCTCTCATCCAGCTAAGTACTATCTACGAACCCTAGCTGTGATGGTACAGGCAGTAGGGCACGCCTTACCTTCCTCGCCAGTGATCGTTGGTGTGCTTGTCTCTGGATTTCCCTAGGTTAGGTACAATATAATATGTATAAAAAGGAGAGGAGAAAGTCTTTCTTGCTATATATTCTGCTTTCAATTCGAGCTATACTTCAAGTTCTAACATGGGGTTAAGTCATAGTCTTAGTACGGCAAAGAAGGGAAAGTAGGTAAACTCCTCAAGGGTCCTTGGCTGTCCGATGATTTCTAAAAGTCGGCTGGATGGTAGATAGGAGTGGTTTATGCGGATGTAGGAAATTATACCGACATTCGGCTCAAGTACTGCGAGCTGAGGGCATGTTGCATCTAGATCCAGGCTGTTTCCAAGACTCTCATCCTCACACTTATAATATGGGGTCCTTCCCGTCAGATAATAGTAGAATAGGGGTATACTCAAAACTGCACTGATAATGGGCAGTGTCTAGCTAGAGAATGCAAAGTAGCTAACACTTTTGCTGGCTGCTGCTACCTAGCTAGCGCTGACTCTGTCGATCCCATGCATATAATATGATACAATATATAGTTATTATATACCAGAAGGGCGTGGGTAGGACATAACTCCAAGCAGTATTAGTTCGGGATGAGTAGTCGACCAGCTGGCTCCAGGGGACAGGCCTCTTACTCTTCTTCTGTTGGACATGCGACTGCAAGCGAGATTCGCAGGTCTGCCATGGAAAACGGCCGGACCCAGGAGCTAAGAGCTGGCGGTTAGAGATAGATAGCCGGCGAGCGATTCAGGAGGCGGCATCCCTGCAGCAAAGGTGTCCTACGTTAAACCACCGAGATAGTTAACTAGATGCATCGGCGCCAACGCCACAAGAGGGCAAAGCCGCTGTTCGAGAAGACCTGCGGAATCCAACATTTAGCGACTGGATGGATGGATGGATGGCCGGCCCGGGCGGGCGAGATGCATCATCACACGTACATTGTGAGACGTGCATGCACATTCGTACATGAGAAACAGGAAATGCGTGCATGCATATAAGTACCGGCAGGGCCTGGCGGACGGAGCAAAGCATGCAAATAGGAAGACGTCCACGGCTGCATTTCCATCCTTGGGGGTTGTCGGCCTCGGCTACATGGCATTCGCATTTGCATTCGCATGTACAAGAAGTACTGACCTGATAGTGCATGGCTGGCTGCTGTTGGGACGGGATGATTGGGCGTAATACTTGCATCTCAACGGCCATGCATACGGGGTTGTTGCATGCGTACCAAGGCAGTGTGAGCAGGGGGGTCGGTCGGAAAAGTAACTGATTTCCATTATCGTTGGATAAGAGTAAGGTAATAATAGCAGACATCAACGGGCTAAAAGCAGCCGTAATATAAATCACGTCAATAGGGAGGGACCAGGGGGGGAACCGCAAAGCAACAAAACGAGAGAAAAAGGAAAAGGGTATATCGAAAATATCTTGGAGATATGTACAATGAACGCATTCAAGGATGATAACCGCCCCTGAACCAACACCCTCCGTCCCCGTCCCTGGGTTGCTGTCCAGACTGATTGCTGTCCGGCGCGAAAGTGTATACGCTATGATAAAAAGAGAAGCAAACATAGAAGAAAAGGGAGTAAGGAAGGGGGGGTGGGGGAAGCAAAGAAAGTAAGATGGCCGCTCTCTGAACGGGGGCAAGGTAAAGGAGTAGTTATATATGTATTGAATGTATGGAGGGGGAAAAGGTGGGGAGTTGGCATCAACCAGAGGCGAGTTTCCCATTGCTTCAAGCAAGTGTGAAATGAAAATATGCTTTTTGAAATTGAAATATGAATGAGATATTAGGATGCCATGTCGACAACTATAGTCGGCAGGGGGGTAGGGGAAGGGGGTGGTGAGAGAGAGAGAGAGAGAGAGAGAGCGAGAAGAAGGGTAGGGAGGTGCAAGAAAGCAATGGTGAGCTTCTGAGCGGGTGGTTATCACGACTCATCCGTGGGCTTTCGGGCATATACTATTGTTCCCGGTAGATATGCGTTTGTCTTATAGTCCCGGAGAGTGGTACGCATTTGGGCAAGGAAGAGCTGTGCTTCTTCATACGGCCATCTTAAAGCTGTGGTGAGGAGCCGGAGCATGTATCCCTCCACACCACCGTGTAGTCGCACTTGGTTCCAACGGCCAAGTTCCCGTAGTTTAGGATCTTTACTCCATCTATTCGTGGTTGTTAGTATGTATATTATTACATTTAAAACAGGGTGCAGAGGTAGGACTAACCCATTCATGGGCCACTTGTATTCGACCTCAACGACGTCGACGAAACCAGCCCTTTTGAGGCGCTCCTTGCTCTCCTTCCATATGGTAAAGGATTTGCCAAAGGTGGCGCCGGCTTCGACGACGGTCTTCCCCCATAGGGTGTAAAAGTGCGAAGGCCCGACGGAGCCGTCGTCCGAGGTTGGTTCGACGGAGTGCTCGACCATCTCGATGTATCCGCCGGGCTTGAGGCACTGGTAGCACTGCTGAAAGAACTCATCCCAGTCCGGGATGCAGCCGAACATCTCCCGGACATGTATGAAGTCAAAGTGATTCTGGGGGTATGTCCAGGGGCAGAGGGTGACATCATCTACTTCAAAGGTGCAGTTGGGAGGCAGAAAGCTGGGCTGGATGGGCGACAGGTCGACGCCAGTGACCTTTGCACTCGGATACTCGTCGGCTATATCTCTGCGGGCTGTCAGTACACACCACTCGCGGGGAACATACATCTAAGCGTAGAGATAGACGATGAGATGTGGATTGATGACATACATGGCCCATATTCCGGTGCCAGTGCCAACGTCTAAGATTTCCTGCTCGGGGCGAGACGGACGGTTAGCATGGGGATGCTGATGCTGCAGTGCGACGGCCTGCAGAGAAGCCCTGGTTCATTCCTAAGTGTTGGAAGGGTTGGAAGGGTGGTTACCTGGGGGTTGGAGATGGGCGCAAGATGCAGCTTGCCGTCCAGGGTCAAGAGGTACATGTGGTGCGCGAGGTCCTGCTGGTCGTTTGCAATCTCATCGTTCGGTCCCTACCGTCTCTGATTAATATCTCGACCATCGACCGGGGAAGAAACAAATTGGCAAGGCGACCTACCCAGTAGGCTCCATCGCGATAGGAGTGGTACCGCCGGCCGTTCTCATAGCGATATCTGGTGATGTACGTCGACAGCGTCTTGGTATCGTCGCCCATCATCTCCCCTTCGCCCGTCGAGTCGGCATAGGCCTCGTCCAGCCCGTCGTCGCTGCTCGAGTCCGCGGCTTGCGGCGACGGCGCATCAGACGAGGCCGGTCGGCCATCGTCCCCAGACGGCGCCTGTTGCTCCTGTTGCTGCTCCTGCGGCTGCTCCTGTTGTTGTTGTTGTTGCTGCTGCTCCTCTTCTTCTTCCTCTTCCTCCTCCTCCAGCGGCTGCTGCTGGTGATGCTGATACAGCGGCGGGTAGTAGTAGCCCTGCTGATGATGATACTGCTGCTGGTGATGTTGGTGATGTTGGTGATGCTGGGGATGCTGGCCCTGCGGCGGCTGTCTGCTGCCGCCAAGCGGCTGCTGGTGATGTTGTGAATCCATCGCTCTGCTGCGTCTCCTTATCCTGGCACCCTCGACAGGCGGTTCTTCGTGCTGCGTCTGCGTCGTCCTGCTGGCTTCAGACGACCATCGGGAGCAGTAACAGAGGATGGTGTCTATGTATCAAAGAAAGGCAGAGGAAGATCCAGGCGAGCCACTCGTAAGCCTGGCGTTTCTTGGTTTTTTGTTTGTTCCCCCCTACCACCAGCCAGCGCGGAGGAGACGGCGGAAGAGACGAAAAGAAAAATAAAAAAAAAGGTTTGCAAAGAACAATGGAGGTTAGCCCTCGAATGTAAGAGGAGGATAAAGTAGCGGATGGCGATCCTTGTTTGCTGTGCGGCTGCGGCTGCTGGTGCTGGTGCTGGTGCTGCTGCTGCGTCGTCGGCTTCAGCGTCGTCCTCTCAGCATCGAACGAGATGGCTTGCTTGGTGGCCGTCGTTGAAGGGGAAAATGCGAGAGATCAAAACGCTATATGGGTTTACTTAGCCCAAAGCCAGCCAAACCCACCAAGCCATGCAAGAAAAAAAATAGGCCATCATCCCGGTCGATACCATCAGGTCCTAACACTAGGGCAAGCCGTGGATATCTCGGTGAAAGGCACTAGTATGACTCGATCCGCCTGGCGGCCAGTGGTGGCCAAATCGGAGATTCCTGAAGTATCCCCGAGGCCGATAACCACTGATCACGCAGCATTATTCCATCCCCATATTTGCTTGCTGTCCAGCCAGGCTCGTGTTGATCGCCTCTCAAAACCCCCCGTACAGGCCAGCGGGAAGGCCTATCAGCATGGCCAGTGGCACAGCATATTCCTTTTCATGCATCTTCTGCAGCCCTGGGTGAGTTATCCTTGTCCCCGTCAACTCTATCGCTGCCGTTTGGAAGGGGGGGTGGGCAGATGTGGTCCAGTATGGCGGTTGTCGGTTTTGGTGATACGAAGGCGAAGACAGAGGGAGGATATCAAGAACCACCGACTTCCGCTCTCCCATTTTGCCTTCGAGGGAGGATTGCACAGCAGGCCAGCTGTTGCTTGCTGTGGCCCCCTTTCCACCCCCCAGCAGCAGCAGCACCTCTGTCCTATATTGCCATGTCTGAGCCGTCCGACTATACGGATCATTGCAAACAGGACCTAGGCTCCTGATAGACAGTCTGTCTGCTGGCTGTATAAGGTTTCTTGGGCCGGACAGGGCCCAAGTTCAAGGGTTGATCCTGAAGAATCAGAGCAAAGCCATAGTGCAGGTCTTAAGAAGATGGGATGATATCCACACTCTGGCGGTGCCCCTCGCTTCACTCGCCTGCCAGCGTGTTATTTTTCTTGCTTGGCCATAGGCTCACCAGGTTGGCATCTTGCATGATGGCCTTTTGTTATTCGCTTCCTCAGGGGGGGTCCCATGGCTTAGGGTTCTCGTTCTTGCGCATGGCTTGCAAGAAAAATAATAATACGACCAACTGTATCCACACCCCTTCTCTTGCTGCCAATCTCCCTTCTTGATTTCTTCTGCTTAGAGTTGCCTCACGTTCGTCATGGGCGGGAAGTAACACGGAAGCAGTCCCTTGGGAAGGGAATATCTCCACTCAGGGTGCCATGGGATTGGGATTCTGTTCCTCTGGTTTTTGGGCGTTTTTTTAACCCTTCGGTTCATCTTCTTCTTCTTCCTGTTCCATGATCTAGTTCTGTCAAACAAAACATCCCAAGGGCGGTCTGATGTGCCTCAGAGATGGGAGAGTATTTGTCCGTTATGGAAGATAGGAATCTTCCCGTTGTCTCGGGGGCCTTCGCCACTGTTCTGATCATTGGAGCCGGTAAGGATGGAGCCTCCTTCCTGTGTGTCTCATACTATTGGGATATTGAATATGGTCCCCCTCCATGACGCATAATTTTATTGACATAGCTCCCTTGGATCTAGGTACCACAGGACTTGCACTAGCTCAAGGATTCAAGAAGGTGAGAGAAGAGGCCGTTTTCAGCCCCGGACGGGTTTAGAATTGTGTCATTAGTTAACTTGATGGCAGGCCGGAATTGCATGCACTATATTTGAGAAGCACAAGAGCCTCAATGCATTACCGAGGGACTGGAATATGGGCCTCCATTGGGGCGCCGTAGCCCTACAGGGAGTCCTCAGCTGTGAACTATGGGACCAGATTGAGACTGTCCATGTCGACCCGAGCAAGCCGGTACCGGAAAAGGACGTGCTGAAATTCATCAACTCCAGCAACGGAGAGCTCATGTCAGAAGTGCATGTCTCCAAGTTCTACCGCCTACGTCGTAGCAAGCTGCGGTCCTTGCTCGACGACGACCTGGATATCCAGTACAACAAGGCTCTCAAGGACATAACGATGTCGAGGGATGGCCGGACGGCCACGGTTCACTTTGAAGACGGCACCTCTTCCACCGGCCAGTTCGTCATTGCTGCGGACGGGGCCCGTTCAACCGCCCGCCAGCTCCTGCTCGGCAAGAAAAGAGGCGCCATACGGCGTCTGCCGTACGCAGCAACTTTTGTGCATGCCAGATTCACAGCCGAGCAGGCCCTGTATCTCCGCAGCTTTCATCCTCTCTATATCGCCGGCATCCATCCCTCCGGGTATTTCTCGTTCTTCGGCATGCACGACGCCGAGGACCCAGACAGGCCCGAGACATGGACGTTCTTCTTCTATATCTCGTGGAAATACAGCCTGGAAGAACAAGACCGGACCTCCTCCTGGTCCAACAAGCAGCGTCTCGACCAGGTCAAGTCCTTCGCCAAAGACTTCTGCGACCCCTGGAAGAGCGCGTTTGAATGGATACCCGACGACCACCAGGTGTGGTACATGGGTCTGACTGACTTCGACCCAGGCTCAGATGGTCATTACTGGAACAACCATGGAGGCAGAGTGACTCTCGCTGGCGATGCTGCTCATGCCATGACATATCAGCGCGGCCAGGGGCTCAACCACTCCGTCACTGACGCTGCGAAGCTTGTAAATGCCGTCACGGACGCGGTATCCGGCCTCTCATCGCAGGCTACCTCGATATCAGCGTACGAGGACGAGATGATTGCCAGAGCCGGAACTGAGGTCAGGCTGTCGACTGTCAATACCGAGATGTTGCATGACTGGGAGCGGGTGCTCGCGTCTCCAGTGCTGACCTCGGGAATGAAACATAAACACTGATGAAGTCATGAAGAGAAGATTATGAAACCCGGCGGATATCTCCCTTTATTTTTGTTTTGCTTGATGCATGTCATGTTTTGTTGGCGGTTTATCTGTACTAATCTTGGTCTTTGGGGCTGGCGTTGTGATCTTCTTCTTCTTGTGATATCTTCTTGCTGATATATTTGGTTTCTTATATATGCCTGTTTGGCCCTCACCTTCACCCTTCTACCCCTTTGCCTGTACACATCCTTTTTACCCCTTGTTTACTATTTGATGCCCTCCATGTTTATACCTCTTAGATGAAATGCCGCTGCAGCCATGGGCTCCCCTCTATATACGCCAAAATCAAGATAACTGACTTCAAAAGAATTAAACGGTTTATATATTCAGCGTACATAATAAGTCCAACATCAAATGCCAACTATGGAGAACAATCCTGTGTATAAAGAAAGAGAAGCTGTATGACATAATATATGCACCCAATGAAAGAAGAGAACAAAGAAGACACACAGGGATGCATCGCAATATGAGTTCTGTGTACAATATTGCCGAAGTTGCAAAAGAATGTCAAGTCTAGTTGGTAGCCATCCAGTAAGCCCCATCTAATGCATCTAGTGCTTTTTCACAGCTTCCTCTGCCTTGTGAACAGCGGCTTTGGCAGAGTCTGTGGCTTCGTGGGCCAGGTCCTTGACAGCCTCCTTAGCCGAGCCGTCCTGGGACCGTCTGTACAGGAAGATACGGGTAACTTGTGTGAAACCAACGCAGCCAACGAAGAAGTTGACGGTAGCAAGGCTGCATTTCAACATATTAGCAATTTACCTTAACAACACGAGGCTTAAAGGCAAACACTTACAGGACGTTTCTGGGCTTGATGATAAGACACCATCTGGTCCAGATTGCTCCGGTTGCCATTAGGGCAGCGTTTTGAGTCAGGGAGAGCTTCTCGGCAGGCCGGGCCATGTCAGAGAGACCAGCTAGAACGAGAATCCACTGCAAAGGGATCCACTGGTTAGCATCAAGACTGCAGCCGTTTGTTATCGGTATTGTATATATCATGTTCGGGCTTAAGCAATGCGACTATTCAACGAACGAACCTTCATAACAGGAGCCCTATAGAGAAAAACAACGTCAATTAGCGAATTGGACCATATGTGTGAATATGCATATCTTGCATTCAATGACATAGCTTACCAGAAATGGACGGTCTTGATGCCAATGGGGCTGTTCCATGACCGCTGCAGGAAGCTCTGCTGGGCCGCACCGGCGTCGGTGCTCTGGAATCGTCGGGCCCGGAGAGCCTGCGCCCTGAAGCGAGCAGTGGCATTCTGAAAGGCAGCCCTGGAGTTCTGGAAGAGACGCATCCCGATCTTCGACGACATGTTGGCGGTAGTTTGTAGTGTATCGACTAGACGGAGAGAAGCGAGAGACAAACGGCCTTTTGATCCTAGAGAAACAAGATATAATACACAGCCGAAAGGAAAGAAAGAAAAGGCCAGGCCCCAAAGTCCAGGTCCAAGTCCAAGTCCTCGCCGTCGTTCTTCTTCGTCGTCGTCGTCGTCTTCTTCGTCTTCCTCGTCGTCTTTCTTGCAGCTCAACAACTCCGCGATCTTTCTTTCTCCCTCCGGTTTCCGCAGGCTATTTGATGATGTAAGAACTGAATAAGCAAAATCACGTGTAGACTTACATAAGCCTGGACTTTTGGACGTCAAACATCGAAAACGAAGCAGCAAAACGACGGCGACGGCAAGCTGATACGCTCAATTGAGGCTTCGACACACTCTCTTTGCGACGAACCGGGCCCTTGCGAACGAGCGGAGGGACTGTCTGTATAGCTGCCACCATGGCCTCGCGATACGCCTTCAACACCGGGCTCAAGGAACTCCGATTCCTGTTCTGCCACTCCTCCGCACACGGCGATGCCACCAGGTAAGAAATTCCTTGTGTTCACGGTCATTGAAGGGATTCGGCAATGGAAGACCAGTCTGCTGACAGGTATATGTGTTCCCAGAGCGTTCCTTAAACGGGCATACCCCACCATGAAGAAGAACAACCCATCTGTACCGATATTGATACGGGAGGCCCTCGATGTCGAGCCACGTGTATTTGCCAGATACGGTACGTCTTATGCCTGGAATGGTATGTGATAGGAAGCTAATAGCGGTTAGAATTCGGAAAGGAGAAGCAAGAGACTCTCTTGGGTATGTTGATACACTCCGACTCTGCATGGAGGGTGGGTTGAACTAACCGTCCAATAGGTTTGAGCGATAAGGAAATAGAGCAAAAAGTGACTGTCCTTGTGAAGGATGGTCTGCCGCAACAGTCGTGATTGTACACTATTCTCTTACGAACCGAAACTGTTTTTCTCTTTCTTGAACCAATGTACCTATACCAGCGTGAGGGATAGATATGGAATAATACAGTATTCCGATATATTTACCAAGATACTCGATTACGTGGCATTTAACGCCAGACACAAATAGAAGAGAGGATCAAACTGGCATGAGACTCGTCGAAAAAATGTTGACTGCGAATATCGGAAATATTAATGGCATTAATTTACTTTCCTATCCAAACCCCTTGCTCAAAGCTATTTAACTTCATCTAGGCAGCGCTCGCAGAGGGAAACCAAACGACCAAAAAGAGGGTATGGATATGAATAAACAACACGACAATCATCACGTTTATACCAAGAGTCATGAAAGCAAAGCAAAGACAGCAAAAACAGAAACGCGGAAAAACGCAAAAGTGTATAAGGTGTTATGTGCAAGGAAAGGAAGGAAGATTGAAAGGATTAATCCCCACCAGGGGGTGGTGGGTGGAATCAACATTAAGACGAGCAGACGGGCATGCGAGGTAGTTAAGAAAAAACAAGACATTGCGAGATGCTCAAGTCAAGGGAATTCATCCAAGGCATGCAAGGCAAGACGAGTCTAGGAGAAACAGTGCAAAGCATGCGTGCATGCAAAGGGATATCTCGAGCGGCGTAAAGAAAAGAGAAACAAGCATAAAGAAAAGAAAGAAAGAAAGAAAAAAGAAAAAGAAAAAGAATTACATTACAATGCAGTCGCCTTCGTTTTTGTTGACGGCCGATCTAGATACGCGGGTCTTTTGCATTCTTGCGCCGCCTCGTCGAAGATCTTCCAGTCGTTCTCTGGCTTTCATGAAATTTTGCGCTGTACGACGTTAGCAGTACATTCTTCTTCTGCAAGGGCCCAACGAAATAAATATGTATGAAAGGGCGAGGACTTACATGATGCTTTCCAGTACCATCTCTTCGCATCGTCCAGGTTCGCGGGAACACCAATGCCGACCTCAGTGAAGTAGCCCATCGCGTACTCCGCCTTTGCCAGGCCGGCCATGGCAGCTTTACGAGCCCACAGGTACGCCTCCGTGTCGCTCTGCTGCAATATCCCCTCGGCACCAGTCAAATACCAGCCGCTAAGGGAGAGTTCGCTCTGGTGCTCGCCTTGCGCCGCCGCCTGCGTGTACCAGTATATACTCTGTCTCGGATCAACGGGACATCCGACGAGCCCGTACTCGTATGCTGCGCCCAGGCGGTGCTGGGAGAATTTATAGCCCAATTCACCTGCCTGATGGAGCAGTTCGCGAGCATAGTTCTCGTCGCGGATGATGGAGTCGATGCCCTGAGGGTTTTCGTACAGCAGGGCCAGCTCGTGCAGGGCGTGCGGGTTATCTTCGTCTGCTCGCTCGGCAGCACGTTTGAGCCACGAGAGCGCTTCGCGGGGGTTCTTGGGCTGGCCCAACAGGCCCTTGAGCAAGATCATGCCCATCTTGTACATTGCGGGAGGGTCGCCTAGGGCTGCGGCACGTCGGTACCATTGGACTGCCTTCATGGGGTCACGGCGAGTTCCTCCACCTCCTTCCTGGCCCATTTCGCAGCACACGGCGACGCGGTAGGCGGATTCGGCATGGCCCATCTTAGCGGCGGATTGGTACAGGTTGAAGGCTTCCTTGGGGTTGATTTCTAGCCCCAGTTGGCCGGAGCCGTAGCAGTCGGCCATGTAGAACATTGCGGGTGGGTATCCCGCGCTAACAAGCTTTTTGGCAGTCTTGTAGGCGTCCATGACGTATCGTTCGCGGTTTTTGGCCTTGGTCTTTGGGTCTGCGCGGCCATTGTCGTCGAGCAGATGAACTGAAGCTTCGACGAGCTTCTTGACCAGGACAAGCTGCTTGGCATGGTCTCCTGGGCTGCTTCGTGCAGCTTGCTGGATTGCGTGGAGCTCCCCAAGGGTTATTGGCTGTGACTGGCGGCGCGTATCTCCGCCGTAGGATGCAGCAGCGCCTTGTCCGGGCTGTGATGTAGGTGCTGGCTGCGGAGTGCTAGTATACTGCCTTACGGGGGCAGGTTTGGGTCCCTGGTCAAGGCCTGGTCGGAAGGGAGCGGGAGGAGCGTGGTGCGGGTGATTATCCGGTCCCGGTCCCCCGTAGCCGCCGTACTGGTCATCGCCATAGCCCATATCCTGAGGCGGATACGCCTGTCTACCGTCGTATGGGCCTCTTCCACCACCATTCTCATGCGGAGGAGGTCCATATTGACGGTATTTCTGGTGCGGAGGTTGCGGAGGATATCCTCCTCTACCACCACCACCGTAGCCGCCGCGTTGGACCGGAGTCATGGCTCGAGCATCTGGTCTTCCATAGTATCCATTGCCTGGATGACCGCCGTAGCCCTGGTGGCCGTATGCTGGGGATTGAGATCGTTCATGCATCAAATGACCCGGAATGCCGTTTGGAGGACCGTGCCTTTCAGGAGAAGAATGCATACTTCCCGACGGCTTGTAGGGAGCATATGCAGGTTTTGGTCCCGCCGATGATGATGATGATGATGACGGCATGGGAGGATTAGGCTTCTCGAACGGTATCAACGTCTCTGCATGCGGCGAGGAAACGTTGTCGTCAGACATTGCGCCAAAGTTGGGCATGTCGGGTTCAGTGTCGGGCCCTGCGTTGTCATAATAGTCATTAAGCAGATCCTCATTTAAGTAGTTGAGCTCGTCTTCCACACCACCTTCAACTTTATCAGCAACGTGAGGTTCGAGGTCGGCAGCGGCGTGCTTCGGGTGGACTACCTCCGGTTTGACACCAGCAGCCGTACCTGGTCTGGATGAAACCGGGTGTGTGTCGGGGAGGCGATGAGGGTGCTGTAGGGCAGGGCTCAGAGGCGGGGGGCTAAGGCTAATGCCAGGGTCCTGCCAGGTGCGCTTGCCAGGGTAAATGGGTTTCTGCTGCGTCCCAGATGCTGCTGCTGCTGCTGCTGCTGGCGGCGGTGGTGGAGGTGTCGGTGCTGATGTTGGTGCCGCTGACATTGGGTTAGACATGGTGACAGGCATGGTAGCGCTTCGAGTAGGCGGAGCACTTCGCGGATCCTGCCGGGGAGGAGCAGGCTGATTCGTTTCAACAGTCAGAGGAACAGGAGCTCCAGCTTTGCGCTGGACAGGCTGACTTCCATGCCCACTTGGCGGCTGACGGGGGTTCATCGTTGGCAGCGGTTCAGAGTGGTACGTCGAGGGCGGCGGACGGTTGGAGTTTGAGGTATGCGGCCTTGCAATCTGGGGTTCTGCGTGATTCTGGGACTTGTTATTATTGAGCTCGACAGCGCTCATCTTCTTCTGCAGCCCGTCCATGGAGTTGCCGCGCTTCTTTGGAGGGAATGCAGGGAACGGGTTGTCAAAGCAGCTCTTCAGCTCTGGAGATTTTTGGGGCGCTACAGACTGCAGTTAGCATTGTCCTTAACTAACTAGTGATTGCATGCCATATAAAGAAAGGAGCAGACCTACCGTGACGGGGAGGAGGCTTGTTCTGCGGCCTTGCTGGTCCAGGAGGTGGCTGGTGGTGTCCGTTGGGAGGCGGCGGTCCTCTATAGCCCTGCGAGGGACCAGCAGCAGCAGCAGCAGCAGCAGGAGGAGGAGGAGGAGGAGGTCTGCTGCCGCTATGAGCCATATGATGGTGGCCGTCATCGTACATGGGCCGGCCACCACCACCACCACTACCACGCGCATAGGGATCCTGCTGGCCGCCCGAGTAGCCGTCGTCGTAGCTCATCTGCCGGCGCTCGGGGCCAGGACCAGGCGGACCGCCGTAGGGAGGCCATCTGTCTGGCTGCTGGTGGTAGTTGTAGTACTGTTGCTGCTGTTGCTGCGGCGGCGGAGGCCTGTTGCCGCCATAATACTGCGGTCCTCCCGGTCCTGGCGGAGGCCCACGACGGGGCGGCGGGCGAGCCTGGTGGTAGGCCATGACCGTCGACAGTCGTCCAGCTAACTAGCTGCTCCTCTTGATTCTGATAGTAACCAGCTAGTCTGCTGGGCTAGTGAGAATCGCCAGCCCGTCAGCCCGTCCCTTCTTGGTGGTTCCAATGCGGCTCCTTCAGCGTCTTATCGCGATCCCGATCTCGATCGTCGACTCGCTAGTGGGTGGGAGGAGGTTCGTTGGTTATAGCAGTGGTGATAACTAGTTAACGATCTCGACAGCGATGCGCCGGCCCCGCCCAGGAGCAGTCTCTCTCGACGGCGAGTCAGGCAGCAGGTATATATCACCCGATCAGCATCTAAAGTATTTGCGTGCCGGCAGCGGTCGACAGGGCCTAGTTCTCAATATATCGAGGGGCGCGAGGGAGTCAAAGGAGGCGGGCGAGAGCAAAAGGAGAGCAAAAGGCGAAATGCAGGGCGATCGATAGTGCGAAGCGCCGAGCGGGCCGTTAATATAAACTCGGTGTCAGGCCAGTCGAAGCCAACAAGGGGGATGCCTCTGCTAGCAGTTATTAATTTTATGCTCCTGCTGACGATGATGATGCCGGTCGAAGATGATGGCTGTCAAGAAAAGGACGCTGGTCGAGGAAGAAGCAAAAAACGACCACGCGACAACCCCGGCCAGCTAGCTAGTTACTTAACCGCCGGCCTCTCTTCTGGTTCCTCCTCCTGAGTGTTCGTTGCAGTGACTGGAGCGGAGCCTGCCGTCGTCTTGCTGGACCAGCCTGGCGTTGGAGTTGATCAGAGATGCTGGATGTTATAGTTATATAGATGGAGATGGAGATGGAGATTGAGGTGGATGGAGATGGTTATAGCTAAGCTGTTAAAAAGTCCACTTGGAGGCTTCGCTAAGGCGCATCCGACACAGGAGGCGACTTTTTTTTTTTTGCTTCTTCGGTGCTTCTTGTGTTTGAGGCTGCGCGCTTGAGGGCCGTCGGCTGCTGATCTGTTTAGCTGCTCTGTTACGCCAGCGAGTCACAGCATGGAAGACGGGCAGTTATACAGAGATATAAGACTGCCTGCGGTGCGACGGGGAGCCCCTGGAAGCTGGAAGGAGACTGTCGACTCTCGACTCTCGACTCTCCCCTCGCTGTACCACCAACGGCCCCCGAACGGAGGAGAGCCCAAGGCTTCTGCTGCCCTCGAGCTGCCTGTGTGATAGGCTCGCTTGCACATAGGCTTTTTCGACCTGCCAGGCACCGCTGGGGCTTTGGCTCGTATCGCCCTCGGCTGCCCCTGACAGACCCCCCGGCCGGCAGCCAACGAGCCAACACTTAACGGCGAGGGCGATACGAACGGCTGTTCTGGCCTGGCTGGTCTTTGGGAAGCGGAGTCTTACGATTTATGATTTACAGAGTGTGTTAACTATTATTACAAGCAGAGAGGTAGGATTGAGTGCAGTGTAAAGCAGTGGATTGATAGACGGCTAACTATGTATATAAAGCATACCAAATGCAAGTCCAGTAGGTTGATAATGTGGTGATTCGCACAACGATGAAGGCATCGTTGGATTGTTTCTAGATTGCGATCCGAATCTTGCTGAGAAGATAAGAGTTAGCCACTGTTCTAACAGTGGCGTCTCTATGCTGGAAAGAAATTGGTCAAAAATGTCGGCATTGTCTGCCACAATCTGCCCTACCATCTTCTTTGCTGCGTTGTGCTCTATGTACCGATCCCAGCTGTGCTTAAGGAAGAGTATAAAGATCTGTTGATTGGATTTCTGGCCTAGTCGATGAAGCCGACCGATAGCTTGAATCGTGGTGTTGATGTTAATAGCTGGTTCAACAAGAATAAGGGTAGTGCAATCACGATGTAGATTCAGGCCGACGCCACCACATGCACAGGATAAATCCCATTGATCCCACCGAGTATCACTGATAACTATCTGGTGATTGACATCGAGGGCCCAAAGAAGATATACCAGCCCACCCACTTACACCTTTGTTAGCGACGTGGTAGTCGCTTCGTCTTAGAGATGTATTCTGTAACTCTTGACTAGTTAGCCCTTGGTGATAACTTCATCCTGCCCATCACCAGTCAAGTCGACAATCGCTAGTTATTTTTGATGGACCTTTATTGTAAACCACCACGATACTCCGCGTTGTCAGATTGTGAAAAATAACATATCCTCTGTCCATCTATAAGATATCCCACACAGCAACATCCGCTCCCTTGTGAACTAGCAAGCAACAGCAGCGGAGGCTAGCTAGGCTGCTGCGGATTCAGCTGCCAGCTAGACCGTCCAGGCCACCGTATAAACAAAAGGAGTTACCCAGCAATACCTTGGTCAGACATTAGTTAGTCCTCCCATCATTTCCGGCGGAATTAACAGCGGCGAGCAGCAGCCAGCCAGGGTAATGGGGTCATTGAAAGTAGGCATGCCAGCCTCGCCACCGTATAAGGCGATGTAAATATAACAACAGGGCGACAGGTTATAACTCCCTCGGTCTCCTCGATCGCAGCGCGAACCATCGTATCTGTGCTCTTTTAAGAAGTAGCCACGTCTTTGAGAGGCCCAAAACTCACGAGATGGGATGGACTGTCAGCGATCGCCACAGCAGTGAACGCTCGTAGAACTGCTCGAACCATTCCTTACCGGGCCAACATAGGTCAAGGAGTAAGTAACTCCTATATATTGATATCACGACCCTTTTGCGGCTGTATATGCCCGTGTATGCGAATAATAGGTGTGTCTTTGTCGAACTAGACAGACAGGCCTTCCATGGCTCTAGGAGGGCGGCGCCTAGAAGCAGAGCAGATAAAGCAAAAGACGCCCCTGTTGAGTTGATGGACTCTGGATGGATCTGAAAAATAGGTTGGCAAATACTTTCCCAACCTTGAGGGCAAAACAGTTGCCATCCATATGATAGATATATCCCGCACACCACAGGGTGATACCTAGTACCTTACCTTCAACGCCGCAGCCAGGCCGGGTAACTTGTCCCAGCAATGGATGACCGCCCGGGTCGAATAAATCTGCGACCATGTATCGACCCAGGGAAGGTCGGTTGGTCAAAATGTTCACAAAGATACGTAGGTCAGTAAAGGGGATCCCACCCACCCCAGGCAGAGTACCCGGAAATAAAGCACCAACCCGTGGTATTTCCTTCCCTAGAGATCGTAAAAGCAGCTGCAGAGCGGACTGGGATGGCCTTCATTCTGTCAATATACTCCTCTCCTCCTGGGAGCTCTACCACGCAACTCCTCCAGCAGAAGGGACAGGCTGCTAATAAACCAAGCGGTAATAGGTGATGCTAGAGTCCAGTTGATATATTGTGCAAGGGACAGACACACCCCTGCTAACATCCAACAGAGGACCTTCCAACTCCATAGTGGATGGATATTATATTTCGTGATGCTGAGGTTCAGTCGATATAATAAGTAGAGACAGACATAACCCTGCTAACATCCAACAGAGGACCTTCCCACTCTATAGTGGGAGGAGATTGTACTTTGTGATGCAAAGGTCCGGCTGATATAATAAGTAGAGACAGACACAACCCTGCTAACATCCAACAGAGGACTCTTTATCTTGTAAACAAGTGGTATCTTATAAGGCTGAAGTCCAGTCGATATATTGTGCAAGAAACAGACGCACCCCCCTAGCTAACATCCAACAGAGGACCCCCACCCCATGTAGTGTGGGTGGGGAAGCCAGGGGGCTCTAGATATCTAGAGAATGACTGTGTATGTTGTATATACTTTGTATATCGTGAATTTCCGAGACCACCAGCTAAGGCAGAGGCAAAAACAGCAGCTATTTGTATATTCCTCTTAAGTAACGCTGCGGAAAGTGTCGTAGAAAGATAGACCGCACCAACCCCCTAATATATATGCAGGGGGGGCGCACTTGTATCGCTCGTTCCATATTTGGGGACTCCCATGAGAGGCTGAAGCCTTTCAAATCTCAAAATAAAGAGTTTCCATATCTCGTTTGTGGTTTCAGCGGTTGAAGGAGAAAAAGACAGCAACAAAGAGCCGGTATGAGACAGGGGTATTTTCTTTGATCTTCTCTAGGGTGTCGATGTCAGTCGCTTTAATATGCTTATTCCTGCGCTTGCCAGGTCCCACGGCAGTGAGTCTTGAAATGGTAGCCCTGTTGATCTTATTTCTGAGAATATCGAATGAGAGACCACTGCTATTCGTCTTTCTGATACGTTTGGCTGTTAATGTAGCTTTGACGTACTTCCAGATCAAGCCTGTGTTCTTCTTTCCCAAGGTCTGACATATGCTTTCGTATCAGGGAGATAATGTGAGAGTGAGTTCCAACTGTTGTTCATCTCCCAGCGATATAGAAGTCTCCTCGATCCAGTACTCGAGGAAGATTGGGTAGATCGCTAGTCCGATAGCCAAGTCAGAGAGTATCTCAGCCCGAGAGTATTGGCTGAAGAGAGCCGTGGTGTCACAGGATATGAGAGAGAGCAAGGTCTCTGTCGAGGTCCCTATCAGCTAGATATAGGCAGATATCTCCATGCAGTTTTGTCTTGAGAGAAGGGCATGCAGTATGCAAAAGACGGATGGCCTCTCTTGGATAGAAAGAACAAAGTATAGGGCAAAGTTCTGTCCCAGCATAAAACAGAGAGGTAGGTAAAGGAGATAAAACAGGTGGTTGTAGACATGTCTGTGATTGAGGATGAAGTATATCGTATAATTCTATTGATGTCGGCATATCCACCAAGACATAGGAGTTGAAAGGTAGTAAGAAGGTAGTGGGATAGAGAGGGAAGATGAGGAGGAATGCTGATGAAGAAATAAAAGAAGAAGAAGAAGAGAAAGTCCAAAAGAAGGGAAAGATGGGGGTTTATATAGACCTCCGGGGGGGTCTCCTTCACTATCTCCAGACTCCCCTCGCTGTCTTGGTGACTCTCCCTGCTTCACTGTCTTCTTCACTATCTCTATCTTCACGCTCTCTCTTACCGCGTATCTTTCTCTTCACAGTA